CCCCCCCCCCCCCCAGATAATGCTCTCTGCGTTTAGTGTATACGATACGATACATGTTTCGTGTGTGTGTGTGCGTTTGTGTGCCCGCGTTTGGCAAAATTATTATTGTTTATAACCCATGTGACATAACCGCACAACGAGAAAATTCAATGTACTCGTTTGAAATCATTTATAATGTACGGATAGCAGCACGTGCACAGCAGGCAGCCAATATGTTCGCGTGTGTCGTAACACTACTGCTCGCGAATATTCGTCTTATCGATTCGCGTGCGAATTTTTTTATTCTTCTTTGCTTTTTGCGACCGAAAAAATTCCATCTCGAGTGGTCGTCGACGTACTTTGGCTCGATGTATAATATTTGCAGTAGCGACAGCAGCAGTAGCAGCGAGATGTGCGAATTATAGCGCAAAAAAATGTGTGCGTGCGTGAAAATGATCGACGAACGGGTTCGCCGGTGTTGCTGCTGTTGCTGATGCTTGATGCTTGATTCTAGTTGTCGTCGTCGTCGTCGTCGTCGTCTTCGCGCATACCTGCTCTCATGCCAGAGCAGCAGCGCGTGGGATACACGCTATGCTCTTATAATACGTGTATCTCTCTCACAATTCAAGGAGATCCACTCCCGCGCGTTTCTTGAGGCTCGCTTGCCCAACGCAACGCCGCGCACCGCACAACACGCCACAAGCCTCGCACACATACACGCATACACACGCAAAAGCACAGAGACACTTGTCAGTGTGTTAATAAATACGAGGCTTGTGTGTCTTAATGCTCTTCGGCTGAAAACTAATGGTGTCGAGACCGACCGAGAACGACGCCTTTTTTAAACATTCTTTGTATTTTACGCGACGTACGATAACGAAGACGACGACGCAGTCGATGATGCTACCTCACCGCTCTTGCTTTTGTTTGGCACAAGACAGTACAGCTGGTTAATAAATTATCGTAATTTTTTTTCTCTCTTCTGCATCGTTCTTTTGCCGGAGCTTGTTTTTTTTTGCTATTGGCCGCAATTTCATGTGGTCGAGATGTAACGAGCTCGCGCGTGCTGACTTTTCACGAAATTAATTGCGATAAGCGACAGATATAGGCAGCCTATATATTAATGTATACCGCACGAGCATTGCTTTGTGTTATTAAGAGTCGTTTAGCTCGAGCGATAATTATGTACATACACAGGCTTGCGCGCGGCAGCTAGTTCTACAAGACACACATATTACTATCTGGGTACGAAGAGACATAACTGTTGTGCACGATGCAAGATTTCTCTTTTTGTTCGACACGAGGAATTTTCACGATATACTCGTTCGCTCGCTCGCGCGCGCTTTATTCTTTCGACTTGGACAAAGTAAAAGCTCGCGCAGGCTTCACAAAAGGAGAACCGGAGAAAAAAAATAATAAAAATAGGCGGAGGAGAAAAATAAAAATTAGCCATAGTTAAGAGTCTCTCGCGAGTCGAGTGCGTATAAGTCGAGGCGTGAAAGTTTCGTTGCCTTGTGCTCGAGACGGCGGCGTCCGAGCTGAAGGCCAGAAAATTATTTAAATATTAATACGGACTTTGCGCGCACAGGCTCCGCAGCGAGCTTCAAGTGTGTGTCTGCGTATATATATATGCGTAGCTCCAGAGCGTTTATCTCTCGGCGTATAAGCGTATAATTACGGCGCGGTTATATAGCATGCGCGCAGATATGCGATCGCCGTTCGACGTGTGCGCGGCATATAGGCAAAAAAAGAATATCTGACTGATCGAAAAATGACTTCCATGTGACAGAGTAACGATGGACGACGTGCTCTTTTATATATACGAGACACGCTCCGTGTGGGGTGACGCAATTCTAGCTATATATCGAATACACCCACTGACGTAAGATGTAGCTTCTCATCAATTGTCATACACACCTCGTTACGACGGACGACGACGACGACGACGACGACGATGATTCTTATGTACACATATATTTTTATACATCTGTGCACGCGAGTCTCTGTTAGGCAGTCAGCCATGCTCCTCGTGTGTGGGTATCGATCGCGAGCTCCGTTTTTATTATTTACGCGAAAAACAGAATTTCATAAGTTTTCAGTCGGCGCCGCGCATAATGGATAGATATGTATTCTATATTTATTTGGTTCTACTGCTGCTGCAGCTGCTTCATTCACACATACTTACACACGTGCGACGGAAAATTCAATTGAGTGCTCGCGTATGCGTTTATATGTATATGTAAGAGCTTTTAAGCCCGCATCGATGACAAGCATTGCACCAACAGAAGCAGCAGCACTAGAGTCTCTTATTCGGCTTCCTCCAGCAGCGTTTCTCGTCTGCCATATATATAATGTATTTCTCTGCACACTCGTGTGCTGTATTTATATGTGTATACTATATAACATAAGAGTGCTACTGCTGGCCTGCTGCGATGCGCGCGCGATTCGTCGAAAGAGCCGCGGATAGACATAATGTGCATCGATCGCGTGGAAAATAACGAGGATAGTTGTTGCAGCCAATGACGTCACACTCGTACTCGTAGGCACGAAGCAAAATGCTAAAGCTTTGCTAATGTATAGCGCACAAACCCACAATACGCGTGTAGTCTCTCCCTACTACCACCTCTATCTCACGAAGATTTAATTTCTTTCGCGATGCGTTGCTGCTGCTGCTGCTGCTACTAGCGCTTCTTTTGTGCCGCGATGCAGTGCAGCGCAGCGAACAATCGAAAGGAGCAATCGATTAACGGATCCGACGTTTGCCTCCTCTCTCGCTCTGCGCGTGCAAGAGTCATTAAGCACGCAAACGTATAATAATATCCCGTGCGGGCAGAGATACTCCACTCGCGGGCAGGCGCGCGCGCGCTCGTGTGTACATATAATGATATGCTCAAAACGATATATACTCTGACTGCTGCTGCACACGGAGCCACTGTCTCTATATGTATATTATAAATACGAATACGAAGCTCGCGCGCCACACCTTGTAGCACACAGCGTTTGCCTCGCGACTATATGCACACATAATTGTTAGTTAGTTGTGTGTATGCTTCAAATCGAACGAGCCAAGTCAAGCATGTAACGTTCGTTTATGGAGTGCAGCAGCAGCAGCGAGTGCATACGCTGTGCAAACTGCACACTGCACCGTCGTCGTAGTCGCAGTCGGCTTCGTAGTCGCGCAGTGACGGCCGACGCTGTCGCTGCACAGCTCGAGCACGCGCGCGTACATACGTGTATACCTACCTACCTATATATACCATAGGCGATGCTTATTTGTAAATGTTGGCTGTTGCACCGCCGCTGCCGTGCATAAAATACCACTCTCGCGGCACCGCGATCGAGCGACCGAGTGAATGTACACGATTTACACAAGCGTATTATGTATACGTATACGCATACAAATGCACACACGACACACACACACACACATGCATGTATACCAAGCCAGCGAATGGAAATCTGGAATTAGAAATTCGCTGATATATTTTGCTTAGCGAACTGTTGACGTTGCTCGTGAGAATTTCTCGTTTGAGCATTTTCTTATTTATTTCTTTTCTCCCCCTTTCTCTCATCCGTACAAATAGCCTCGCGTCGTACTGCGCGCGACGATAGACAACTCACACGAACAACAACTGCGAAGGTGTTAATGTAAAAATATTGAAAAAAAAAAAAAAAAAAAAAAAAAATAGGCTCAGAGTGTGCCGATGTATAACTGTTTGTGTTATCTCATCTCTCAGTGGTGCAAGAAATAGGCCGATAAGAGGAGCAACGCGGTCAATGATCGCAGTGACAGCGAACTACACAATCGGGGGTCTCGAACCCCGACCCGCCAGATAGTAGCTGTAGCTCTCGAGGAAACCACCGCGCCGACCACCGCCAACCAGAGGCCAGACCCAGTAAACCAAATCGAGGGGCTCTCGTGTGTAGAAGTGAGCTTTTTTGGCGCAGAGACAGCAGTACGAGCGCAACACGACGTCGTCAACGGAGAAGCAGAAGAAGCCGACGACAAGCGCGGCAGTCATGGATTTTTTGAGACGCTCGTTTCGGCGTACGGGTCGAATCGGACCCCACGGCCAGAGACGAGCAGCCACGATGTACGTGGTCGAGCCGACGAGCAACGGTGACGTCTCGCCAAAGTCGTATCACCCTCGCGAGGCGCAGCAGCTTTATCAACAGATGCAGCAGCAACAACAACAACAACAACAACAGCAGCAACAACAACAACAACAACAACAATCGCAGCAGCAGCCACAACAACAACAGCAACGACGTCATCATCATCGCTCGCACGGCAAGTCGTCGAAAAAGCACGTAGAAGTAGTGGCCGAGGCCAAAGCCGATCAAGCCGCTTCGGAGCGCGGCGGTACGCACATCGCCACCACGGTCAAAAACACCGTCAGACGGTTGCTGAGGAGGACCAAGAGCCACAGGGAAGCAGCACCGATGCCTATGGCGACACCCACCCCACCATCGGCCAGGCGAGCCTCGTCCAGGATATCGAACTCGAACACCGACACCAATAGCGAGGCGACGACGATATGTGCCTCGGAACAAGTCGTGCCTGAGGAGGAGGCGGCAACCGTGCTAGTAAATCCAGCCGTGGCGAAGGTCGCCAAGGACGACAAAGCAGCCGAGAAGAGAGACGACGCCGCCCCCGCTGAGCAAAGCTCCAAGTCGGACGAATTCAAGGGCGTCGAGCTGAGGGTTAAAGATACGAGAAGAATTGCGAACGGCGACGTGAAACGCTCCAGCAGCGTTAGACAGCAGCAGCTGCTCAAGCAAGAGGCGCACAGACAACAAAAGCACGGACAAAAATTAGTGATAGACGCCGCGGCGAAAAACAAAAGTAATCACAAATCGGCGGTAACTAACCGAGACGTCGCCAGGCTCAAACAAGCTGCGAAGGCGCAACAAGCCAAGGTAAGGCCAATGCAAACGCTCACCTTCTTTTTCTACGAAAATGGAAATGAAAATAAACCGAAAACAAAAGCGAATGTCAGACGATCCGACCAGTATCGTCATTTTATTCGTATAAAAATAAATTCATCAGTAATTTGTAGGATAGTATTTTATTCCAAACAATTTTTATAATGAATCTTACAACTGAAATGATCTCATCAAATTGCCCATTTATACCACGAGCACTGTACAATACCGTGTACAATTTTCCACTGCGAACGTGTTTACCTCCTCCTCCTCCAATCTGTCAAATAAAAAGAAAAAAAAGAAGATAAAAAACATTAAACGAACGGATGAAACCTTAATCCCAATATTCAGACGTGTCCGAGATTTTACGCGTACTTTTCCATCTGCGCAAGTGAATATACGTACGCATGAAATAGGCAGGCGCTGGGCTCTCTCTCTCTCGGATACCGAGTAATAAGTATGGAACCCAAGCGTCGTATATTATAAACATTTTTATTATCGTTCCGTTGCAAATGACGAAAAAATAAAAGGAAGAAAAATAACGTCGCGCTGTGCTTTATGTACAGATTAACGTCAGACAGTATCAGTTAAAGACGTTTCATACACGGGTAACATCCTACTGTTTACGTTTTCTATACAACTCACAACGCATCGACTAAGTTGGAGACGGTGATATATAAGGCAGCGGAATACATATCGCTGTATTACGGTATGCGTATAGCGATATATAAAGCGCCGAGCATCTCGTCTCTCTCTCTCTCTCTCTCTCTCTCTCTCTGAACCCTCTATATTTATAAACGTCGCTCATCCATTTAGCCAATCATTCTAATAAAACGTGCTGTGTGCTCGTCGTCGTACTCGTCCGTATACACATGCACAGCATTACCCACACACAGACACGTATTCGCGCCTGTCGTCATCTCGACTCTTTTTCAGCTCGTGAGAGGATTCCATGCGCATATAATATGACCAGTGTCAATGGCCTTACCCATACTGCTATCGTATCGCGCGATACGCTTTACCCGTTAGAAAATCGACACGATCGACTTACTACGGCTCGTCGATTTTTCGTGACCACTAAGCTCGAAAACCTGTATAATTTTCTCGCGACAAGCACTGTACGGAAATATCTTGCGTAACGCACGTGGACGCGCGCGAATCGATCACGCGTATGCAGCAAAGCTCCGGCTGCTGCTGCTTCATCGCGAGATCGCGTTAAAAAATGAAGAAAAAAAATAAGAATAATATGGAAACTTTTTTTATTGACGCGCGAACGCGTAAGAACGTCTGTTTCTCTCTCTCTCTGTCTATATAGTTTTTTGTCGTCACGCGCGCATTTTTCATCGATAGATCTTTTCATTCGCAATAGCCGAGTTGCTGATGAAGTGTTTGTATGTGTGTGCATTGCACACGATGACACGTTACGTTCAAGCTGATGCACTGTGCCGCAAAATCTGCAGTGCATTGTGTCTGTGTGTGTGTGCGTATGTGCGCGCGCGAGAGAGAGATAACGTGAGTCACACGGCATGGCATTTGCTCATCATCGTAATTACATACAATAATACATAATGAGCTGCTTTAGCGTTGGTGTGTACGTGGAAACTCACGTTTTGTCGCTCGTTTTGCATCGACTGCAACAATTCTTTTTCCTTTTTTTTTTCTCTTCTTTTTTTCTCAAAAAAACAAACTCGAGGCAAATAAAAAACCAATCGAGTTCAGCGCGAAGCTGCGAATATACCGCTGCTGCTGCAGCGATATCGTCGAACGCGTAGATCTTTTGTGACTTTTTAAAGAGCGCCGAGTCTTTTTCTCAGGCGCGCGCTGCAGCCAACTGCACCTGCGACATGAATTATTCACCAATGACTGTAAATGCACGCGCGCAACGAGAGCCCGCACACGAATTATGGCCAGCAGCACCCGGACACAATTGTCGTAATAAAACCGGCGAGTCGACGCGCCGCGTCACTATTTTTTTTCAAGTTCAGCAAAAGTATAACAGTATGCTATGCGCTGTAGGAAAGAATATAACGGTCTCTCGCGAGCATGCCTCATTGTTTGACGTCGATAAAAGACGAAAAAAATAGAAACAAAATAAAAATAAATTATAGTGCGTAAGTACTCAACGAGATTACTTATGTTCTCTCCCAACGGACGATCTTGACCTTGTCGAGCAGCAGCAGCAGCAACTCTCTGAGCAGCATATCTCTTAATCATCGTCAAGTATAACCCGCAGTGCTAGCCACGGAAACAGTAATTAAATCATCGCGTATACGATATAAGCGTGGTCATACGTAAATGCATTAAGTGCATATGATACACTAGAGACGCATTAGGCTTGATTCGTAGCAACAGCAGTCACAGCTGTAGCTTCACCATTAGCCAGAATATGGCGTAAAAGCATAAAAATCTAATCCCCGGGTGCCATTCGTGTTGTTCTTAAATCCGTGACGTATAGAGACACGCTGGAATCGACATTCATAGTTTTCCAATAATCATAATTAACTTTTTACGTACTCGAGCACGCACTATCTAAGAGTGTTGAGGTCACAGGAGCTTTCCACCCATCTTTCTCTCTCTCTCTCTCTCTCTCTCTGTCTCTCTCCTGCATATAGCGTTAGTACGTTTATAATTTATACGCATTTATGCTCCTCGATTCAGATAAGCTCGAAAACGCGTCGTTCGAATTTTTCTTTTTGATGCCAGTCTCGTGGTTCGCGATGCAATTTCTTGTCTCGGTTACTTGGAAGAATTTCGTATTACTATTAACGCACACCAGCGAATTAATTTTATTAAGTAGCCTCTATAATTTCGAAGTAATAACTATGCGAATGAGCGATAAGCTGCTTGGTTGATTACTTTTATCGTTCGTTAAGAATAATTGTATTATTTATCATGTGTCGCGTGTATGTTAGACTTTGATTGAATGACAAAGCCGCGAGAATGTGCCTGGAATTCTTGATTTGATCAACATTTCATATAAACTTGCGGTGTTGAATATTAAATTCATATAAAAGTACTGCGGCGCTGCTCAATTGGCAAAATATTTGTCACGGGCTCTTTATTATTTCTGCTTTAAAAAAAGAACAAAATTCTAATTTATTTATCCCGATAAGCTGTAGACTCGAGGTAAACATGTTCAACTCGCACGATAACGACAAACCGACGAAGAGAGACTCTCCCACGCAAAAGCGATGATGCACTCGGCAGCGCTGATTTCTTTTCCATCTGTGTTTGTGCAGTTGTCTCAAAAAATTCAATTCTGAGCGACGCTCGAGAGCAATCGATCTGACTCGCGATTCGCGCGAATCTAAAAATGATTTACGGCGAAACGCTGAAATATATAATACTTGCGAGGCTCTTTCTACGCGCGCACGAGAGTCAAACACCTTATGCCATGTTTATACGTAAAAACGGGTGAGCTTAAAATTTTATAGCGATATGCATGCGAGTTATATACATAAAGCCACGCGACAAAAGACTTTGTTTGCATACCATGAGTCAAAGTACGTCGCTCGTGTGCACAGAGAAAAAAAGACAGAAAGAGAAAAGTCGAGCATTCATAATCGCTCGTATATAGATATATCGTTAAAATTTTTGGCGCGCAATATTCAATGAAAACTGCAGTTTATAGCAGGCAATATGCAATACCTGCAGTTTTCTCTAAAACGCAAGGATAAGCACATAGGTTAGAGATAAAATTGACATCTCGGACGTGTGATTTGTTGCGCTTTGAAAACCTGTCAAATACTCGCTCAACGAGTTTAGGCTGCAATAAATTTGAACTAACAAATTAGTACGCTCGAGAGCCGCAACGACGGAAATTCATGTATTTTGATCGCGACTGCCGAACATATTTAATCGATTCGTAACACATACGCTCAAAACAAGACGATTGAATTTTCAACGAATTTGTCCATTGTTGCGCGCGTTGACAGCTGTGTGTGCATCGTCGTTGTATATGACTTCCAATGCGTCGCGGCTCGATCATTGTTATCGGCTTTTATTCTTGAATGTAAAAATACATTTTCGTCGTACGCGAGATACTCTCGTTGAATGAGACAAAATACTTTACATATGTGATAGCTATTTATTCGAAGCTCGCACACGGCATTTTTAGAGGAAATCAATCTATTTATGAAGTACCAAGTCGCGGATACTGAGATGTTAAACGTGAAAATACGTGCTCAGTGATGCGCGCGTAGATCGTCCTTGAACTTCATCAGCTGCTTCGACAAATTTGAAGTACGGAATGAAGAAATTTTTTTTAGCTATCCTCATAAATAGCTGTATTTTTGTACGAGTTTATTTTTACTTTTTTTCTCTCAAACGGCTGCTCAATGGTAACATATTTACTTCGGAGCTTGCGGTTATTATAATCGGATAAATATGCGCGCATGCACGACATTTTCTTCTCACACGAGCGTGAAAGAGATCGAGTTGTTGCGCGCAGGCGTCGATTGTTTCGACACATTCGGGAATTGAGAAATGTTCTAACAACGATTTGTTGACACGGTTACAGTGGCTAACCATTTTTTTTGCGTAATTATTCCTCATTATAAGTTTTAATACGAATTCCGAGAAAAAGGAACGACGCTATAGTTATATAAAAAAAAAAAATCATCATTTGTTTTTTATTGTTCGGCTGGACGCGTGCACATACGGTACGATACACAATATACAATGCGGCTCCGGTAACGAGGCTATAAAAATGTATCGCCAGTAGGCACACGTTTTATATACGGACGAGTTTTTTTTGCATTCTGTACTCGTAACCAACAATGAGACACGCTTTGCGATCGATTTATAGTGTATATATTGTTGCATTGCACACGAAAATTCACGATCGGAAAAAAGCAAAACAAAAAAACAGAAGAGGAAAGAATCGAACATCTCTCGCTTTTTGTTGCATTACATCACTCTCTCTCTCTCTCTCTCTCTCTCTCCGCACGCTGCGCTCATAATTATTACGTACACAACGGACCGCGTACGTACAT